TTTTTTTTTTGAACTGTTAAATTAAATAGAACATTCATTGTTACATCTTTATTTTCAAAAATCAAAATGATGAAGGGTTAAGCCCGAAAACGTTTTGCGCACTTTGCACTTTATTTGTGGCCTTTGGACCACACATTTTTGAGCTTTGCGGCCTATTGTCTGTATGTGGATCTTATTTGTTTTTTTACTGGACTTGTGTCTGGCGTCACGCTTTTTCAGGTTCTTCTTCTACATCTTTATTTCCCCCAGCTTTTTAAAGCGTCTATGTGCATAGATTTGGAACCTCATTATTTTGTGACTCTAGGTAAGTATTTCATTTCTGTTACTTGCCATTGCCAGTCGAAAGCTTTTTTTAAGCGCAGTAGCTTAATTCAACTTGACCAATCAGAGCCGAGCTTTTCAAATCGGCTTTGTCACTTGCTCACCAATGAATCCTCTGCAGTGAATGGGTGCCGTCAGAATGAGAGTCTAAAGAGCTGATAAAACCATCAAAATAATCTATCCCCTGTTGTCCTCTCACATCAAAATCCACCAACATGTTTGTTTAGAATTGTTTGGAATGTTTTTGTTTGTAAACAGTGCTTGATCAGTGCACATTTCTCTCCTGATTCATACAAGATGACTTTTTCACCGGAGAACGCACTATTATGGATAGAGGACTCATATTTTAGCTGAAAGCAACAGTTTGAAGTTTAAAATGATGGATTTGTTTGTTACGAACATGCATGTGAATTACTTGTGGAATGCTTTTATCAGCTGCTTGAACACTCATTCTGACGGCACCCATTCACTGCAGAGGATCCACTGGTGAGCAAGCGATGTAAAGTTATTGTTCAGATGAAGAAACAAACACATCTACGTCTTGGATGACCTTAGGGTGAATGTATATATATATATATATATAATTTTTTTTTTTAGCAAATTTTCATTTTTGGGTGAACTATTCTTTTAATATGCCAAGTGTTCAATGTTTACCTAAAACATTAAATATGAATATACTGAAACTTTATTTTGCTGCATAGAATTATTCAACATCAAGAATTATTCTATTTCAAGACTGTTCAACATAAACATATCAAACCACTGCGACAGAAAATAAATTTATGTAATTGGACTTGTCAATCAAAATATTTAGGTAAAATGAAAAAAAATATATATATATATATACACATATATATATATAAATATCACTGAATGAATAAAATTAAGCATTTAATTATATTATTTGAAACAAAATGTAACATTGATCCCTTAAATTTAAAGATTAAACCCAAGACACAAAGAGGACAATGTCCAGGCCTTAATAAACGGTCATCCAACATATGATGAATAATCCCAGTTAAAACACTGTTTGCACAATAAGATAAATATAGCCGTTATGAGGAAGAGATATTGCATGAGTGCTGGCTGAGACTACCATACATGGGCAAATTTCAGTGACTCTGTGTGTAAGTGTGTGTGCTGCCGGCTGGAATTTCGCCCTCTGACGTCACTGCCTGTTACTCTCCCAGACTTGGGAAAAAGAAGTTTCACTTTAAGTGGGGATTTGAAACTCTGTGATTCTTAGAAAGCAAGGTAAGAGAACTATTCAAGCTTTCGAGGGGCGGCTCCACGCGCCGAAACGCCGATCGCAGGCCCAGGATAACGCAGCGGTGTTTCTGCGCTCGAGTTCTACAGCTCGAACTATATTTGACAACTATATGTTCTTCTGTGAGAGATTCGAGCTGTGTTGTTGAAATGGAGGGTGTGGGATTGCTAGAAAGGAAGGGGGCGAACTTTGTTTCGTGTATTTACCCCGCAGCCGAAACATTGGAGCGAACATATAGAAGGTGTCGGCGTACTTTGAACACGATTAGTAGATACTTGTTGCATATGAACTCCTGAAACCGATCGTGTTGTTATTCCGACGAGATTCTTGCACTGTTGTGTTTCTTTTGAAGAATGCGGAAGTAAATAGGCTGGAGGGTCTTTCTGTGTGCTGGAGGATTGTAGTGCCTAGAGACGTGGCTTCTGCTTACAAGAGCGACAGATACGAAATATTAGTGCTGGCCATGTGTTTTGTTTGTCTTGTTAAATTCAAATAACTGTGTGATGCTGTACATCTTATACCGGAGTTCAGTAATTCACTTTGTGTACTCGTTTACCGGTTAATACAGGGAATGCGTGATTGTTACATCGACTTGTGATCTTTTGCATTGAAAGGCAGATAAATAGTTGTGGGAGGTAAATGTTTTGCATTATGCAGATGCTTTTATTTAAAGCAATTTACAGAGCATTCATTCATTCATTCTGGTAGTGTTGACAAAGAGCAGAGACACTTGTGAAAAAAGTATATTTTAAAAATGAACCCTTACCTTTGGAAAGGCCATTATATAGGCTACTTTACATTATATACATATATTTAAATCTATAATAAAGTATTGAGAACAGATGATTTTTAAAGGTAGTAAGTGATAATGCATTTTTAATAAAATAGAGAGAAAAATCTGACATGACAGATTTATTTTAACTTATATTTACATATATTTTATATGTATTTTGGTCCATGTCTCAAGAATTTATAATATGTGTTTTAGACTCATATATTTGCATTATCGAAACCATAGCATGAAAATTAATGAATAGAAATTTGAGAGCAGGCTGAAGCAGAAATGCACTCTGGATGATTTTATTGCGTCTACTTTTAAACCACAATGTGGAGGTGGTTAAAGCTGCGCTCAGTATTGATAGTTTTTAGACAGTCTTAAGATTTATAGCTGCTTATTGAAATCGTCAGGCTTCAGCTAACTAACTCTACAGTGATAATATGGTTTGTATTGTCAGCGTAGCTGTCATTTGTGGGTTTAATTGCTTGCCAGAAAGGCAACTATCTCCATTTCAACCAAAATGTCTAGAATACAGACATTGTTCATCTTAAAAATAGCTAAGTGCTAAAATATTTATCTGTTTCCTTACAAAGACGACATTCAGAATTCTGCTTTGATATGAATCTCTAATCAATAACATCAAGGCCTCCCAGCCATCAAACTGAATATCTCTGCCGCCCCCCACCCCAGCGTCCCAAAAAAGTTTTAACTCCAAAGTACATCCCAACAGCAGGAATTAAAAAAAGAGGACATGTCTTGACAGGCTAGTGATGCTTAAAGTTAAAAGATGAATCCTGCCTTTGAGCCTAGTCTTCCATGCTCACTCTTTTGACTGTCGTTTTGCCATTAGTGCAGACTTTCTATGAATATTGACTCTGTGCCGTATTGCTGTAGGTTACTGTTGGATCAAAAAGTGTTGTGCCTCTTTCTGTTGCTATGGAGACTCTGTGATCAGGTGCTGTCTGGAACAAGTGTGACAACTGAAAGTTATAAATACACCGAAAATAATTGTAGTGAGCATATATGGATTTATGCAACAGTTAATACATGAACAATCCGGTCCACCAGTTGAATCAAGACCACCTAGACTCCAAAGCAATAACACGGACTGAATGATTATTAATGGATGTTTAATGTAATTATTTAGAATGATTTGTTTAAAAGGGCTAATATTTTTAATAGCTAATATTTACGAGAAGAACCACTCTGACTTATGATCGAAAGACAATTGTAATGTTACAAAAGATTTCTAATTAAAATATTGTTTATTTGAACTTTCTATTAATCCTGAAAAATCCTGAAAAATGTATCATGCAATATTAAGCAAAAAATGTTTCTTGAGCACAAAATCAGCTTATTAGAATGATTTCTGAAGAATGTGGACTGTAAGCAATGGCTGCTGAAAATTCAGCTTTGCTTATGTCAAAATTATGTTTACTTATGTTTTTTTATTATTATTATTATTATTATTTAACTGGCATCAGTCAATATTGGATATTTGATGCTCATTTCTGTTTCCTTTTAGATGACCACTTCTGTAATTTAGCACTCACTCATATTTAATATATAATAACACAATAATTTTTGATTTTTAATAAACTCATGTCTGCTGAATTTGCTCGATGAACAAGCTTTGAACAAAGCTGTGATTTGCGATGTGTTTCAGTCCTGGATGACAAATTCAGTAGTCTGATAAAACAGCTGCATCTCTACTCTACTTTTCACTGTTGCACTCCAATTTCCAAGAGTTCGTGAGGACGGATCTGTGTAGTTTAAGTACACCGGGTACAGGCATGCAGGATGAGAGGTGGATGAATGAGTGTACACTGTCCTTTAGGATGTGGTGTGGAACAGGCTCCGGACCGCAAAACGGAAGATGCAGCGGCTGCTCATGCGGTTATGATTTACAGCAGACTTCTGCTCATTTCTCACTGCACTCATTGACACAGCAGTATAAGGAACGCTGCCCGACTTAAAGTTCAGCTGCACTGTGACTTTGATCTTCCTCTGAACTCTGGATAATCAAGCTTCCTCACATCCCCTTCAAGTGCTCGCAATGAGAAAGACAGATTGCCACATTAGCATACAAGGCTAAGAAGACACCTGCAGCCGTAAAAAGGACACAGAGTGTTTTAGCCTGTGATAGAAAGAGGAAGGAGCGAGCAGATAAAAGGAAGGACAGCTGAGACGTGTTCACACGCATTTAGAAACATGAGCGTTGTATGCTTATTACCACGGCCGGACAGGCCTTCTCGATTTATGTGGATTAAATGCCTTTCCTCTTGTCCTAGTTGTGATTGATGAAGTGTTTCGCACTATCTCTCTTGTTTTCCAGAACCTTCAACTTTCCTATGGTCCACTGTCTGTTGACTACCAAATAAGAATATATTGCCTGTATCTGCCTTTTTGTATTCTTTGTCAAATACCAGCTCCTCTTAATCATGGCTTGCAGGTATAGCCTTGAATCTAGGCAACGGTTTTGTCATTTTGGAAAAGTCTTTTCATCATTCTTTTATTAAACTTGAAGTTGTTAAGTTGTAATTTGTACTCTCTGATAGTGGAATTCATCTACCTTATGACTGCAGTCATTATAAGTACTAGGGCTTCATGATATTGGAAAAAAACTGGCATCGCGATATTTTGTTTTTCTGCAATATATATGAAAAATACAGGAATTTTCACCATACTGAACAGCTATATTTAGAAAGAACGAATCATTCTAGAGTTAGTGGGATGATTTCATCGCCATAGAAAAAAGGGCAGATTTTTAATTTTTTAAAATTATTTATTTATTTTATTTATTTATTATTAGTATTTTTTTTTACTCTACACGATTTGGGAAAAAAATGAAACATCTGGGTGTTCATCCTTGGGTTTACTCTTTACAAGAACCAACTTAAACTTTTTTCAGTAACCTTCGAGCTAAACGGTAAACAATTGAGCTTTTATTTTGACTGGTTGCTGGGAAATAAAAATAAGTTCTGCCGGTTTCAGAGTGAATTTTGACTCTGGTTGTCTGAAATCGCGTACTGTCTGAGTAGGTAGGGCTGCACGATAAATCAAAATGGAATCGAGATCGTAAAATGTGCATGACAATCGCATTCGATTAATCGTGCAGCCCTATTGAGTAGGTACTACATTTGGATTTAAAAAAGTACTTTCTATATAGTATGAATATGGGTAGTATGAATGAAATTCGGATATACTACATCCGCTATGTTGTTATTGTCACATGACCTACCAGCGTCAGTTGCGTCGCTTCACTGCCATTCATAAATCCTCTCCTGTGGCCTCATGGGATAGTAAAGTGTCCATCAAATGCGCACTTCAGAATCCGGGTGGAAGAAGTAGGTCATCCGGGTACTTTTCGCCTATTGTTTTTCGAATACTATAGCTGCATCCCAAATGACGCACTATACACTATGCACTCATACACTATTTACTTATGCACTATGTACTCATCCATGTAGTGTATTTATTATATAAGGTTATTTTATAATTTATAATCAGAGTCTGATAACCGCTCCTGCTTCACTATGTAATTTAAGTTGCGACAGTTGAGTGCATAAAGTGTCCAACATTCCACACTTCGTTTTTCGGTTATTTAAGTGCATCATCCGGGTATTTAAAGTGCTCTTTTTCTTTTTTGAAATTTCAGTGTGAACACACAACTAGCACTATTTATACTAAAAAATGTCATAGAATAGTGCATAAGTACGCGATTTGGGCTATTTGGGATGCACCTTATGAATTCAGACATACTACTCGCCTCACATACTTAGTTTTTCACCTACTATATAGTAGGGAAGTATGCGATTTTCAGACGCTGCATATGTGTTCGTTTATACGCATTCAGCTAATGATGTCAGTGTCTCAGAATGGCTCGATTGTAGGGATGTAATGATGCACCGCGAGCCGGTTGAAAATCGATACAAATATGCAACGATTCAAGTCGGTTGAGATGTTAAACGAATCGTGATACAGTTGGGGGTGGGGGTTTATATTAATGTATCTCTGAGGGGAACGGACTGTCTTCAGAAAATTACATGGTATTTTCTTTTCATCTTGCTTCTGTATAATGCATACAGTAGGGTTCAAAAGCTCAGAGCCGCTTTGTTTACAGCGGTAACCAAGGAAACGCTGTATCGCTGCTGTTCCGTAAGTGCCACCTGCTGTCAGAGAGTGAATTTGCGTTCTCATTCAGTTTGT